ATATGCCTCAAGAAAACACTTGATCTCACCCCCCCTCCCTATCTAAAACCCCCTTGACATCGCAACCACTTCGTCTTGCCTCAAATTTTCTTTCAATGATAACCCTACCATACATTTTTTCCCTGGCATACTCAGAAACTTTTTCCCTCTATAATTTTTAAAATCTCTTTTTCCCCCTTCCCTTTATATAAAGGAATTATACACTTCCTGCAATCCCTAGGTACCTTTTTCCTTTCTTTCAACATTTATTAAAAAAAAATCCCAAAACCACTCCAACACTACACCCCCCCTTCTTTTAATTTTTTCTGCAACCCCCATTATTTCCACGCTTACCCTGTTTCATTCTACATAATCCCTCACACACCCCCCCACACTCCACCTGCTCTTCTTAAATCCTGAAAGATGGATACCTCCCTGGCCGTGCATGAAATTTTCCTCCCTTTTTTCGTCAACATTTAAAAGTTCCCCAAAAAATTTCCCCATCACCCAATACCCCTTTATCCCCATCTATTAACTCCCCCACTCTGTTTTTAACGACAAAACCATTTGTTCCCTGCTTTCTTAAACCCGTTTACTCACCCAAAATTTTTTTTTTTTTTTCACCAAAATTTTTTGACAGTGCCTCTCCCCCCTCATCGTTCCCCTCCTTTACCGTTTTAAACCCCCTCTCTTCACCTTTCTTTTACTCTCCTATACTCTGCATTTTTTAACACTTTTGTTTGTAAAAAAAACTCTCATAAACTACCTTTTTTTCTTTTATCACCAAAATTTTTCTTTATCATTTTACCAATCACTCCCTTTTCCCTCCGCCCCACCCTCCTATAGCCACAACTTCTGCCCCATATTCGCCCCACATTTTAATACTGCATTTTTTAAAAAAATTCCAACCCTCTTCAGCCCCCCCCCCCCCCCCTACTCATACTTGCACAGCCCACCTTTTCCCAATATTTTCTTATACCACCGAACTTCCTCCCCCTTATTTATTTTCACTTTCACCTCTCCTTACTTTTTGTTGCCATTTCCTCTGTCCCATCTACCCCTTAATCTAACTGTACTACAACTAAATAATGATCCATAAACATTTGCCCCCCTATAAACACTACACTGAAGCCCACCCATCAACCTTTTATCCACCAAAATATAATCTAACAAATTACTTTCATTACTGCATATCATACCTTGTATATTTAAATATCCCTTTTTCATAAAAAATTTTTACTTATTACCAACCTTTCCCACCCTAGCTCAATTAAAGGGGTCCCCATTTTTTTTTTACCCCTGGCCCCCCCCAAATTTCCCTACACCTCCTCCACATTTTTACCCACTTAAGCATTGAAAACCCAATCAAAAAGACTCTCCCCTGGTTCACAACCCCCACACACTCACCAACCATTCCCAAAACCTCTCTCAACTCCTCTACACTTCTCTCTTTTCCAGGTGCACTACGCTTTCTATAACCCCTTTTCACTCCATCCTTTATTTTATCCCCACATAATCCTTTAATTAATACATTTATCTCCCCCTTTTTTCCCGATTGAGTCCCGGAGAGGGAAAATAAAGTGCCTGCACCTGAAGGGGGGTGTTTGTTTTTGGTTTAAAAACGTATTAAAGCACCCTTCTGGCAAAACAGTGATGGAGTGAATGATGGTGAAAGTTTTTTTTTTTGGGCCACCCCCGCCTTGTGGGAATCAGCCCCGTGGATAAAAAAAAAAATTATAAAAAATTATTTTGGGACTTTTTTCTTTTCTCAACTTTTTGAAACCCCTGAACAAACCCATTTTACTTCTTTCCCCTGAAAGTCTCTTACCCCCTTCACTTTGTTTAAATTTAAAACCAGGACATCCGCCTTCTCATTCAAACATCCACAATCATCTTTCTTACTTTCTTTTTTTTAAAAATTTTATATATATATAACTGAATTTTTTTTATAAAAAACCCTTTTTTTCATACTGAAAAACAATTTCAGTATGTACTTTAAATTTTTTGGTTGAAAGCTCCAATTTGCTACACAATTTGGGTGATACCCACAAAACTGAGTCGTTTTTTTTTCCTTATGGGTTTAGATGCCCCCAGGCTTTTTCATAAAGCTCTCCCCACACCAACCAGCTGAGCAACCCTTCATGTCTTCGTTAAGGCTTTCCCAAAATTTAGAAAAGATAACCATCTATGTAGGCCACGCGAACTGACAATACAGGTTTTCCAGGAATTTTAAAACTTTGAGAAAAAAATAATAACATTGTGAAAAATAACAAACATTTTTTTAATTATCATTATATATTTATAACAGGGGTATGCTAATAAACGTTTATATAACAATATTTACAAACTAATGGGTTTTCCCTATAAATTAAAAAATTGGTTTGGGGGGACCAATCTTCCAGCCAAAACTCTTAAATGTGGGTCTGGGGCTGGAACAAAATGCAAACTTGTCATCCTGATTTGGGCTGTGGAAACAGGCCTTAGAAAAATTTTTTTAACACCATGAGGTTCACTTTTGGAAGGTCCAAAAATCAGTTTGAAGCAGTCAACCCCGATTCTTCTTTAAAAAATTTCAAAAAAATCCTACTAAGGAAAAGCCTGCAGACAGTCACCAAAAAGGACTAAAAGGCTGACTTACCCTTTCACCTCTTCTCAGTAATTCTCTCCTCCCTGCGCCTGTCCGCATGCTCAAAAACACTAAGGAGGATAAAAAAACAGTAATTTTTTTGTATTTTTTTTTAAATCATTATTTTCATTTTAAGTATTAATGATATTCTTTTTTTCAGGGGTTTTTAAATCACATTTTTTGCACTTTTTTATAATTTTATATTTTATTTTTCATTGTTAAGTGGGTATATTTTGGGGGCCCGGAACGCATTACCCCTATAACAACAAGTTTTGAAATTAATTCTTATGCATACCTCAGTGTTTTAATTTTTTTTAACACACAGCCCAAAAAAGGAAAAAATTTCATCATCATTCACTTCATCAGTCTTGCCAAGGGGTGCTTACACTACAATTTTAAAACTTTAAAATTAACACCCCCCTTCAGAGTGCAGGCACTGTACTTCCCACTCCAGGGTTCAGGTCCACCTCCCGGGGTTTCCCCGACTCCCTTCATAAAATTCATATCCATTACAAATGTCCACGGGGTGGATATGAGGTGAACAATAAACTACCCTTTTGGGAGCAAAAGTATTCTAATAAAGCACAGTTTTTTACATGTAACTAAACAAAGTTATTTCTGACCCATATATCAACACATTGAAGCACCCATACTGTATACTTTCACAAAGCTAATATGCACATTTTGCATTTTTATTCAATATAATTGTAACATGTTTAATTTCCTAGACTTGACCAGAAGATGAGAACAGAAGTTTTCCTGAAATGCTATCACAAGCTGCCACTACTCCTCCACTGAGCTTGCTATTTATCATAAGAATCCTCTCTATTCTCTCTATACATACAGTACTGCACTATATACACTTTGTGCATTATACTGACTGCCTTTACATTTCTATTAGATATTGCACTAAGTTGTCCAGGCACCAATATGGGTGTATAATGTGATTCAAAATGGCAACAAAAAAAAAAAATCTTGGTTTATTTGACTCATCAAAAGAGGGAAAATTTAGGGACAATTTCAATTCCCCAAAATTTTCAGAATTCTGGATTTTAGTTCATCTGTACAGAAACAGACATTCCAAAATATTCCATTTATCAGTATAGCACTGACTAGTAATGATGAGTCATTACAAATAAATGTAAGTGAAAAAATGCTGCTTTTGGAAAGTGATGAAAAGTGTTATGAGAAGTTGTAGAACACATTAAGTAATAAACTCAAAAGTTAACTAGTATATAGTATTACATGTTTACCCTTTCAGGGTAGGCAGGCCCTCTCCTAAACTTGATTTTGTCTTATGAAATGATAGAGAATCCTTTCCCGATCATAATGACACCAAAAGTATGAAATTTGATGGAAAACTTACAGAATTATGCTCTTGTGAAGTTAGCGGTTTCGGCGATGTTTACGCATCAGTGATTTCGCCCACTTTAAGCCCTATTTTCGGCCAATTCCAATGTACCAGTCGACAAAAATCATAACTATTTTGCTAGAACTCCATTTTTTCTATCGAATGAGTACAAGAAACCACCCATTTACCGATTTCAACTATCCAATAAGTGGTCAGAAATTGGTAATTTTGCCAATTTCACTCAAATTTCAAAAGATGCCAATTTCCAAACCGGATCCAAAATAAACAAGACAGACATTCCTGGCACTAAAATAACATTTCCTCTATTCATTAGTCACGTCCCCAGGCCTCTGTTACATTTCTTTTGCTTTCCACTTTGAATTTGTATTCTCACAAAAAATAAAAGATTTACTGTTATGTAGACAACTGCATTAGTGTAGAAATGGTATAAATAATATCAGCACACTTGTGAAAGAATATTAGACTCACCAGTTGACGTGTATTAGAAGCATGGCATGATTTGTTTACTTTTGAACTTTGGCAAAAATCGAACATTTCTGCTACTTTGAGCTCAATTTCAAGGTACTTTTCATTGTGAAACCAATCAAAATCATCTCAATTTCCATAATATGTCTTCCATTCTATAAAATGAGACCAGGAAAACTAGAATACAACCATAAATAGCATACGAAAATACACTGCAAAGTCACTGTTTTAAACCAAAAACACGGTCGGAGCTTTTTCTCATTATGCACTGTGTGCTGCAGGATATTTTTTATACTGTGCACACTGACCACATAGACCCATTTTTTCATACGTAGGCCTACCAGCTTTCTCTCGCTAGATTTGAAGGCGCTAGAATTTATGTGTACTAGTACGGCACCAACCCTGGTGTGCAAGCCGTACTAGTACGGCACAAACCATGAAAGGGTTAAATATAACAAGCTCTACACATATTATTTCAACAGAGCCAGCTTAGAGTGTATTTTGTTTATCCACTAACACCACCTGCATTGCCTTTTAGAGAAATTATGAAAAACTGACCTGATAGATAATGTGAAGTTCATTTTCCAATACAAAACACTGCCTAGCCCTGTATAGTTCACTGAAGACATGAAGACCTTCATCTGGGGAGAGACCTGAGGCAAGCACAGCACACCCCAGTTGTGTACCAATGTATCTTACAGTGCCCTCAACTTCTTGCAGTCTGGCAAAATAAATGCAGCATAATGTAAATAAAAAATTCAAAATATCATTATCCTTACATTTTCAATAACACAAATAAGGGTGGTAAGGAGAAGAGGGTGGCAGGGGATAGAAATGAGCAGATTAAAACACTGCCAAAGGCAACACCCTCACTCATCCTTCTTTATCACAAAATACGAGTTGATGAGCTAAATTGGTACACAGTGTTTATGAAGTAGGTACTATATAAGCAATACATCAAGGCTCCTGTCATTTTTTTTTAACTTTGATTATACTATAGAGGAAGAGAAAGAAAGGTTATATGAACACTGGTAAGAGTCACTCTCAAGGACATGTGCAGTTCCAATAAACCAAGAATATGTAAGTCATTTATTTTCACAAAATAAAACTGCATTCACAATATATGTAACTTCCTCTCATTATAGCCCTGATTATGCAAATGGAAAGAAGCAAAGAATTCATTACATAAATCTTGGAGTCCCTATCATTTTGTATATAACCATTATCCTCAAAATCTTCTCATTTTAGCCCTGACAATGCAAAGGACAGAAAAACAATGCATTCATTAAATGGTATGCAGGAAATAGCTAATTTAGACACATTTGTTAGTTTTCCTGTGACTCCCATGGCGTTAAATTTTTTTTTATACAAACAAGGTATGTATACTGTGGTGGCCCCATGAACTTCAAATCTTTCTTTCATTCAACACACCAGCCGTATCCCACCGAGGCAGGGTGGCCCAAAAGGAAAAAAGAAAGTTTCTCCTTTTACATTTAGTAATATATACAGGAGAAGGGGTTACTAGCCCCTTGCTCCCGGCATTTTAGTCACCTCTTACGACACGCATGGCTTATGGAGGAAGAATTCTGTTCCACTTCCCCCATGGAGATAAGAGGAAATAAACAAGAACAAGAACTAGAAAGAAAATAGAAGAAAACCCAGAGGGGTATGTATGTATATATATGCTTGTACATGTATGTGTAGTGTGACCTAAGTGTAAGTAGAAGTAGCAAGACGTACCTGAAACCTTGTATGTTCATGAGACAGAAAAATGGACACCAGCAATCCTACCATCATGTAAAACAATTACAGGCTTTCGTTTTACACTCACTTGGCAGGATGGCAGTACCTCCCTGGGTGGTTGCTGTCTACCAGCCTACTACCTAGAATGAACTTCAAATATAAACATTTATCATGGCGGTGCCGAAAGATTATCCCTTCATTTTTTTGTTTAATTACTGCACTTTTCACACTTTATTTTCAATCACTAACATATTTACCATTTGTATAAAAAACACCAATGGTAAATGAAATGACAAGTACACGCACAGCAATGTGTAGTTACAGTGAAAGTATTGGTTACTAGCCTTCCTGTACTGCTGCAATTTCTCAACTGTCTTGTAGCGAAAACATTCTAAAAGATCATGGCTTAATTGATAAGCCTTCTGTATGCTACTGTATACCTGGAGGCAGTGGAAATGTCCTGTCTAAGAGCAATGTGTGGTGTAAACATTATGCAGAGAATTTGGAGTGTGGAAATTAGGAGGTGGTGTGGAGTTACTAAATGTATTAGTTACAGAGCTGAAGAGGGGTTGTTGAGGTGGTCTGGTCATTTAGAGAATGGATCAAAGTAGAATGACTTGGAGAGCGTATAAATCTATAGGGGAAGGAAGGCGGGGTAGGGGTCATCCTCGAAAAGGATGGAGGGAGGGGGTAAAGGAGGTTTTGTGGACGAGGGACTTGGGCTTCCAGCAAGTGTACGTGAGCGTGTTAGATAGGAGTGAATGGAGAAGAATGGTTTTTGGGACCTGACAAGCTGTTGGAGTGTGAGCAGGGTAATATTTTGTGAAGAGATTCAGGAAAACTGGTTAGCCGGACTTGAGCCCTGGAAATGGGAAGTACAATACCTGCACTTTAAAGGAGAGGTTTGGGATATTGGCAGTCTGGAGGGACTTCTAAATTGTTGTATCTGAGCACTTCTGCAAAGACAGTGTTTATGTATGAGTAATAGTGAAAGTGTTGAATGATAATGAAAGTATTTTCTTTCTTTTTGGGGAGCCGATGTGTTAAAAAAAAAAAAAACAGTCTACAGTTATATTACATTAAACATTGAAAATAATGAAATTTAACCCATTAACTGTCCAAATGTAAATCTACGTTCTTACTGCAAGCGCTCCAAACGTAGCTCTACGTTTTATTTTTCCTGCCTCCAAATTTGGCACAATTGGCCTGAGATGCCTAGTCAGCATAGAATGGGTCTTAACCCTCAGTGTGTGCAGTATTAAAATAATCTGGAACCACTTAGTACCTTGTGGAAGCACCAGTTCAATTGAGCACCAGCTAGAGCAAACAGCACAGCAAACACCAAGGATTCACAGATGTCATGTTGTATTAACACTCCCCTTTTAAGAAGAAAGTGTCATCCTGCCAGAATGTCCTATAACCTATGCCCTAAGTAAAAAGAAACAATTTTGGAACTGTAATTTTGGCAGGCTTCCCAGCGGCTGGCTGATTGGCTGTCTCTATCTCCGTCTGTCTGTCTGTACCTATCTCTGTCTATCTCTTTATCTCTATCTCTGTCTCTCACAGGAACACATAGGTAAATACAATTTTACGTAGTGTAAATTACCTAGGATAACCCACAGAATCCAGACAAAGTGCTATACTGTGTTCGTAGATAGTGATTGTGTGTAATACCAGTTGGTTTATGAGCAACTCTCTGAAACAAGAGATAAAAAGAAAAAAAAAAAAGAATTAGCAAGCACTACAATAAGTCAGAAAGACATGTATGCATATACTACTAAGACATTTATTGAGGATATATTTCATTCACCAGGGTCTTTCTCAGTTCAGTACAAAGAATAAGAGACTATGAGCTCTCTATACAAGACTGAAGAAGACCCTGGTGGGTGAAACGTATCCTCCATGTCTTAATATCTGCATACGTGTCTTTCTTACATAGTATGTACATTAGATTTTATTTCAGAACTACGGAATGTTATTTGTGTATCGCTCCAGTCACGGTATTGTGCCTTTTTTTTGTTATTTGTAGTAATAATGAATAATTGTTATATCCTCCAATACTGGGGACAATGATCAGGTAATTTCCTAAAGGAACAAACCTAATAAATTCGTTCTCTTCTAAAAAGGCAATACAGCTGACAACGGAGTTCTGTGAATTTGGTTTTGAGTCTTCATCACCAGCTCGAAGTGATGCAGCCAGGAGTGTACAACTGCAGTAGCTGTCAACCTCATCTGGAGTGGTTGCTACACCACTTACAATCACCTGTGGAAAAAGATAGTGTCCATATTATTTAAATCTGACAATTTAAAGCCATTACAACTGATAGCTATGATGGTAACATGCTAAGAAATTAATATGAACATTATTTATCACACTGACTGTCTCCCAATGAGGCAGGGTGAACATGCTGGTATAAAATGCACACTCATGATACACAATCTCAATAATTTTTGAGCACTGGGCACACAAGCTGCCTTGCAGTGAAAACAGAGGTGTCAGGAACACACTAAAAAAGTGAGTTTAAATAACAATCGTGGTAGGATGGTTCTTATCCATGGGTGGAAATTTCAAACAGAGATTTTTTCAAAGGGAACTCTTGTCAAACTGTTTCATTAGGAGAGAATGTAATTTTTTTAACAGATCATTTTTACAAGCTAAGAGCTGTTATCCTACCTCAGCTCACTTCAGTGCCCAGCCCTATCTAAGTTATACTACCACCCCCCCAGGATGGGACCCACAACAGTCAGCTAACACCCAGGTGAACAGGTGAAGAGGAGCACCAGGTGTAAGGAAACATGTCCAATGTTTCCACTCGGCCGGGGATTGAACCATGGACACTGAGTATGTGAGCTGAGTGCACTATCAGCTAGTAATTATATTTAGCCCTTTGACTGTTTTCGTCATACATATACGTCTTACGAGCCAGTGTTTTGGACATATTAATACACATAAATTCTAGCGGCTTCAAATCAAGCAGGAGAAAGCTGGTAGGCCCACATGTGAGAAAATGGGTCTGTGTGGTCAGTGTGCACCACAAAAAAAGTCATGCAGCACACAGTGCATAATGAGAAAAGAAAAATTCTGACTGTGTTTTTGGATTAAAACATCAACTTTGAGGTGTATTTTCGTATAGTATTTATCGTTGTATTCTCGTTTTCATGGTCTCATGTGATAAAATGGAAAACACATTACAGAAATAGAGATGATTTTGATTAGTTTCACGATGAAAATGACCTTGAAATTGAGCTCAAAGTAGCAGAAATGTTCGATTTTTACCAATGTTCAGGAGTAAGCAAATCACACCACACGTCCAATACATGTCAACTGGAGAGTCTAATATTCTTTCACTAGTGCACTGATATTTTTATACCATTTTTACAATAATGCAGTAGTCTGCATAACAGTAAATTTTGTATTTTTTGTATGAATAAAAAATCAAAATACAAAGCAATAGTAATATATGAGAGGCCTAGAGATGTGACTAATGAACAGATGATATGTTATTTTAGTGCCAAGAATATCTACATTGTTTATTCTGGACCCTATTTTGAAATTGGCATCTTTTTTAATTTGCGTGAAACTGGCCAAATTGCCAATTTCTGACCACTTTATTGGGTAGTTCAAATCAGTAAATGGGTGATTTCTTGTACTCAACTGATAGAAAAAAATGGAGTTCCAAAGAAATAGCTATGAGTTTGGTCAACTGGAACAACGGAATTGGTCAAAAACAGGGCTCAAAGTCTGCGAAATCACTGATGCGTACATGTCGCCAAGACTGCTAACTTCGCGGAGCGTAATTTCGTGAGTTTCTGACCAAATTTCGTACTTTTGGTGTCATTACCATCAGGAAAAGGTTCTCTATCATTTCATAAGAAAAAAATAATTTTTTTTTTCCAAAAATTTTACAACATAGAATGACAGTTTCAGAAAGGAGCGTGCGACAGTCAAAGGGTTAAAGGTTGGTACCAGAAGTTTAATTTTCACTCTGTGAAAATTATTATTATGACAAAAAGCAAATGCATACACCAGCCAGAGTTCCACTGATATTTGCTTAGTGGGATTAATGTTGACAGAACTGGTGAAGGCCAAGTTTTAACTAAGCAAACGTATTAGAGTACTTCTTGTAACATCACACCACCTAGAAGACTCTGGAATGCTGCAAAATCTGATGACTGTGGCAGTGAAGTGCTTTTGGAACAAGACTAGGATTCCTATACAACTGAAGAACATGTTCTAGATATTATTTTGAAGCTTTTTGATAAAAGGAACAAGATAAAGAAGAGCCAGAACAAGTTGAAGAGATCCAAGCATATAGAAGAGAAGAAAAAGGTCTTCAGTGACTTTCTGGATTGGTTCTTTAATATCACTCATCATCAAGAGCTAATGATGATAAAGGTTGAAGAAGACAATCAACGCCTGCTTTCCCAGATTATTATTAATACAAACATGGGGAAGCACTAGATCTGTTAGGGTTATGCAGTGCCTGGGGGTGTTAGGGGATAATCAGGATTGAGTCAAACAAAAAAGCAACAACTGAGAGAACCAATTCCTTGGAATAAGAGCCAATCAATACCATCAAGACACCTCATAGCCAAAAAGTTCTAGGCAAAAATGAAAGTGTATATTTAACCCTTTCATTGTATTACCGACCCCCCCCCCCCCCACCACCACCACCACCAATTGAAAGCTGCTTCTGTCAGCATTTTTTTTTTTTAATATTCTAAAATAGTAGAAAATCTTCTTCTCAGGGATATGACACACACGAAAAAAAAAATGCAAAATTTGATGTAAGACTTACATAATTTTGCAGGTACTAAGTTGGAGGTGAGGGACCACCTTACGTATCAGCAATTTTATCCATTTTTCACCCGTTTTAGGCCAATTCCAGTACTCAAACTTACCAAATTCCTGGCTATTTTGCAAGTATGTCTTGCAAGAAAGTGCTTAATCACACAACAGAACTACCCTTTTAAGTGCCCAGAAGTCAATAATTTGGCCAATCTTATACAGGTCAGCCATCACTAATCCGGCATCATTGGGAACTGTAGTGTGGTGGATTATAGAGTGGTTAGGTTAGAATACTCTGATCTACGTTCACCTGTGTAGCACTCCAGCCTTTATTTTCCCCATTTGAAAGCACGTAAACAAAAACGTAGATCTACATTCGGAGCCCCCGGCACGCGAACGTAGATCTTCATTTGGACAGTTTAAGGGTTAACCTATCAATAGAAACTCTTTCTGCTACATCTTTCTCATTTTCATTGTTGCTTTCTTGCTTTCTCCTCCGCTGGCTTGCTGCTGAGGATTTACAACTATCTGCACAATTTCTGAGTCAGTGTAATTATGAAATGTGAGTCAGTACATATAATGATTTGAGTCAGTATAATGATGAAATTTGAAATTATGCTAGCCAAAATTAGCCAGATTACTGATGGAACTGGATAACTGATTACCGGATTAGTGATGGCCAACCTGTACTTTAGACATTACAGGCACTTTTGCCCTGTTCATTAGCCACATAGAAGAGGCCTCTCATATGTAACAGTTGCCCTTCAATTTGAATCCATTGTTACACACAAAGATTCAAAGTTTTTCCTATTTTTAAACTAATGAGCCATAACCAAGAATGATTGGTCATAACTTAAACCATCCTAATAACTGAAGCAGACCTAGAAATAAAATCTTACCTTTTCCCAAGAAAACTGCCCAAAATTCAATGATTTCTGCCACTTTGAAGCCTATTTAAGAGTACTTCCAGTCTGACAGTGACTACAATCTTCTATATTTCATCAAGGTATACTCAGTAAAATCATGAAAACAACTCTAGAAAATGCTTTAAAGTTGCTATTTTCATCCAAACACGAGGTTGAAAGTTAGCTGTTCCCATTTTATACTGAGTGGGCAATATGTGATGGAAACAGCTAATATACCACTGCTTGTCTAGGCCAAAATTTGCTGCTCACAGCAAATCTGGGGATGCAGTGATATATGCACAGATCTACATAAGGAACACTGACTCCAAATATGCAGATCTATATGACCGACAGCAAAATGGTGAAATCAAGCATATGCTACCTACATGCTATCCTTAACACGTAAATATTTCTTACTACAGAGAGGAGAAAGACTAGTGAAAACCAGGTAATTGAAAAGCAACCATTTTCAGCTCCTCCATGTCAATTTTTGCCATATCCAAAACAAAAACTAATTAAATCTAAGAGAGCAAGGGGAGGAAAGTGGAGTAAATTAGGTCACATTCTAACAATTTTTAGATCAAAATCAAGTGTCTCCATGGGGAAGTGACACAAAATTCTTCCTTCATAAGCCATGCATGCTGTAAGAGGTGATTAAAATGCCAGGAGCAAGGGGCTAGTAACCCCATCTCCTGTATATATTATTACTAAATTTAAAAGGAGAAACTTTTGATTTTCCTTTTGGGCCACCCTGCCTTGGTGGGATATGGCAAGTTTGTTGAAAGAAAGAAGAAATCAAGTGTACCTAGTTTCAGGATAAATTAATTGCCCACACTTTATTAACCCCTTGACTGTCGCAACCCCAAATCCTGAGGTGTCTCCTGGTGTTGCAAAATCCCCCCCCCCCCAAAATCATGAAATGATAGAAAAATCTTTTTCCAATTGTAATGACAATAAAAGAATGAAATTTGATGGAAAACTGACAGAATTACGCTCTTGCAAAGTTAGCGACCTATGAGATATTTACGAATCGGCGATTTCGCCCACTTTGAGCCCTATTTTCTGTTAATTCCATTGTTCCAGTCGACCAAACTCATAGCTACTTCTTTAGAACTTCATTTTTCTATCAACTGAGTACAAGAAACTGCCAATTTACCAACTTCAACTACCCAATAATGTTGTCAGAAATTTGCAATTTGGCCATTTTCACGAAAAATAAAAAATATGACAATTTCAAAACAGGGTCCAGAATGAACAATGCAGACATTCCTGGCTCTAAAATAAATTTTTTTTTGTTCAACGGTCACATCTCCAGGCCCCTCTGATATTACTCTTGCTTTCTATTTTGAATTTTTATTCAAACAAAAAAGAGAAGATTTACTGTTATGCAGACTACTGCAATATTGTAATAATTGTATAAATAATGTCAACCCATTCATGACTGCATACTAGAATGGTTACTTGGACATTTATTGCAAAATGACATTATTTGTTTACTTTTGAACTTTGGCAAAAATCAAACATATTCCCTACTTTGAGCTCCATTTCAAGGTTCTTTTCATAGTAAAA